TTTTTTTTTTTTTTTTTTTTTTTTTTTTTTTTTTTTTTTGGTACCGGGGATTGAACTCGGGCCTTTGTGCTTGCAAGGCAGGCCATCAAACCACTGAGCTAAATCCCTGGCCCAAGAGACACATTATAGTATTATGGCATTTTGATTGTATGCACAAAACTGAATACATATTACTCTAAAAATATGTCTTAAATAATTAACATGCTGTCACTGAAACAGGAAATGCAGACAATATGACAAGTATTCCTTAAAAGTTTAAGGAAAACTATGTACTATAGGTTAAGAGTATTTTTATTACACCCCCAAAATACTCATGTTTCACACATAATTTCTGATATATTGGTACACAACTTAGCTGAAGACACCTAACTAAAATTCTTGGTTACTAACCTTTCCTTTTCTCTGCATTTAAATCTATGTTTTTGAGAAAGAAAGGGCCTTAATGATCCATAAGAACCTTCCTTGGTTACTGGTTGTTCTCCCCTCCAATTCGAGACTATTGACTTGTCCTATCCTGATCTGGGAAATGCTTGGAAATAAGCCAAAATTTTATGGAATTCACTGGATTTCAGTAAAGATTACATTCTATATTAGACTAACTTATATTACTGATAATTTTATGTTACTGGCAATTCAGAAGCTTAATCAGAAAGGAGTTTAGTGGTCATATCAGCTGAAAAAGGGAAAAAGTGTTAATGGATTTTATTGTACTTTGTGTTTTGATTCCTCCTGTTTTTAAAATAAAATTTTGTTCATGAAACAACTGCCAAAAGTCCAAATATTGCTAAGTTATTTGCTTCAGAAATTTAAAAATGGAGATGGAAGGGTGAAGAATAACATAGTGATGGGTCTAATTAATGAAAAGCAAAAGAAATAAGGAATGTAAACTTGGACTTTGTAATAACTTTTGGCATAGTTTCCGAATCTCAAGTAACATGTTAATTCTTTATTATAGAAAACATTATTTTAGGAAAGTAACTCCTAATTAGAAAAGGCTGAAGAATTTTAGCAATTCTATGTTTTGTCCAGAATAAAATTGTTAAGGAATATATAAAATAACATTTGTAAATAACTCAAATATGGATGAAAAATGTTCCTTTAAAATGCAATAGCCTGATTGAGTTGGGGAGTAATTTTCAGAATATCGATAAATGGGAAGTTGTATTTCAACTGTTTTTAATACTTTTCCCAAAAGCACAAGGATAACAAGTTAATTTTTATGTGAGAGTGATTTTTAAACCACAAGCAGTTTTTTTTGAGATTTCTTCTCTGTAGTGGCCAATTTTCTATGAAACATTATTTTAAACCTAATTGCAGTCAGAGTAGTTAGGCCACTAGCTCTGCTAAGGTTGAATTTCATTTGAACTTTCTAATACTATGATCTTTTTTCAGAATTTAATAACTGACTCAAATATTTAATAGTGGAAGCTTTTATTAAATTAAAAGGAAATCAGGATATATTTTTAGAAGAGCTAACGTATTTTCTTTATCAGTTTTATATACTTTATGAGAAAAGGAAGAGAATGAAACTAATCTCTTTGTGTACTTAAATAGACATTAATGCTATAACTGCAGCAAATAATTTATTTCAGTCTGTATCATCATTTGAAAAGAACCAAATGGCAGTAATAACTATACTTCTAATTCTACTGAACAGCAAATTACACTGTCTCTGTGAACCTCTTTATTCATCTTCTGGATAATCATTCTTTTTCTTAATATTTACATACATTTTCTAGATCACTCTGTAGATTGCCTGCTGTTCACTTTTGCATAGCCTAACAATTTCTGTTAAATGCAATGGCTGTTTTAAAATGTAAGTGGGGAAAGACACAATTTGAACAAATTTTGTTTATATGTGCCATTCTACATATAGATGATGAATGACCATTAAATGAATTAATTCACAAGCATCCTTACAAATAGAATATTCTCCCATAAAGCGTGGTGCAAACCTTTTTAATTAAAATGCATTGTGCCATGTCCTCTCTCTCCCCAGGGTCCTGTGGCCTCTCACCTCTTACTTTGTCTTGCAGGCACTCCATTGCTGGTGAGGAGAAGCAGTGATCCAGCACCTGGGCCACCTGCTGATGCCCAGCCAAGAGCTTCATACCCGGATGGCCAGAGTGTGAGACCTGTTGTTTCAGTAGGTATCCTGCTGTTGGCACTTGTAGTGAAAGATCAAAGACCTTACCCATGGACTGAGACTTGGGGCGAATTAGACAATTAGATAGATTGACAAGATGTGTAGTAGTAGTTACAGTTGGTCTTGAGTAAATTAATAATCAGGTGGAAAGATATATCTTGGTAAGATTACATAGTAGTAGTTGTAATAATAGATAACACATTTATTGCTAGTATATAATTAAAGAAATAACCATTATTTGTAATAGTACTCGTTATGTGCTAAATGCTGTTTTAAGTGAATTCCTTTGCCATCTAAACTTCCACAAGAAAGAGAGGTTTATATCTATTTTATTAATAAAATATTGAGGCAGAGAGAAGATTAGTAATTTGTTTAAGGCCATTTAGCTAAGAAGTGACCAAGCTAGGAATTGAACTCAGGTAATCTGATCCAAAGACTGCTTTGAATCAGCACAAACTAGCACTCTGAGCTCTTGCACATCTCTCTTCCTCCTTCTTCATGACACACAAGGATATAGTTAGTGAACTTTTTGGTGTGTTAACACAGTGCTTTACAGTCATAACATTTTGAATGGTTATGGAGTCTCAGGCTCCCAATGGTATGGATATATGGTGTCAGTAATGGTTTAATAAAATTTAGCATTCCGATTGAAGAAAAATTAAGTTATAAATTGGATACAACTGTTAGGGTAAAAACTATATTTCTCCTAAATTCTCAGTTGCCTTAAACAGCTGTCACAGTGTTTCATCCATCCAAACAGCTGGAGAGTTAGGTTTTGAATAGGTGGGCTTTAATAACATAACCATATTAGAGGTCTAAATGCAAGTCTCCTTCCAATTTTGTCTCATCTATAGCACCTGAAGGGGGGAAAAACATTTTATAGGTTTATCGGGATGTGGAATGAGTTAAACAAATTCTCCTAGTTTTGTATATAATTTTCTTAGCAAGAACCTGTGTCAGTGTTTATGAGGTAGGAGTTGCTATACCACATCACTGGGTACTTACTAATAATTTGTGGTGCTATCTTGGAATGTTACTTTCCTTAAAGATACAAAATATCTTTCAAATATTTTAATGTGTCATGTTATCTTGCTATCCTTTTAAAAACTCTGTCCTTTTAAGGGCATATATTTCATGGAACTCTAATAAAAATCACATGTCTAATATCTGTGATGAATACAAACAAAGCCAATTCTGTATATGATACAATGAGGTATTTTTTTTCAGCTTTAATTGAGTTTATTGGTACATTTTAGGGATACAGTACAGTTACATTCATTGTTGGGATCTTGTACCTCTACATGACAAGTCTTGATTCTCATCTTTCCCCTTACCCCTGCCCTCCCTTCACCCCCTCCTCCCCTCCCCATCTACAAATATTTTTTTCAACATGCACTAATTGAGATAATGTTAAGCTTTAATATATCTGATTGGGCAAAGGGAACTATACTAATGATAGGGCAACTTAAAAAAAGAGAATAACTAATTACATATGTATTCTTTGAGGTATATACCCTAAAATTAGATTGTATTTCATTGATGTATTTCCAGTGTCTTCATGCAGAAAATCCATCAAGATTTTTTCTATGTTTCTATCATTCAGACTTAGTGCTTAGACCAATTCAAATGATACCAATATTGCTTTTGTAAGAGGAAATTTTAGCAGCTATCTTTCTCATAGGTTTCAGAGCCTCACTACAATATATTAGTGAGTTCCACATTGGAATGTGGGGCAGGAAGATATGTTATTACCAGCAAAAATGTATATCCTAATTCCAGAAGAAATACTGGTACCCCAAATCCTTGTGCTTCACTATTGCGCAAGTTACCAAACATGGACCAAGTCCCTGTGTTATCAACAATAACAAGAAAAACACTGATTTCCTCCTGTCTTCTTATGTTCTCTGTTCATAAGACCAGATCTTAGACCCGAAAGTAAAGTCTGATCCTTGCCTTGCCATTGATACAAGCATGTCTTGGACTTCCCTAGCCTCAACCGTGAAATAAATTTCATGAATACTGTAAGGCTTCACATTCAGAGGCACATAGTCAGTGCTATGTAAATAGTGGTTATCCCTTTAACTACATACTAGCAATACTAGCAATATATACTATGTATTAACCAAATAGCAATATATACTATATATTAACTATATACTAGCAATAGATGATGCTATTATTATAGCTACTTCTATGTAATCTCATCAAGATATACATCTCTAGCTACATACATTGTGCCTTTTTAATTTTTTAGTGTCTAGTGCCAAGTACCTGAAAGCCACTGAGTGAATGTGTTTTGCACTCAGGAATGCAGGATACATATAAGTCTAGGAAGAGTCCTAGAGGTTCACAGCAATTAACCAGCCTGATAATTTATAACTAATCTAATTCAGCCATCCTGTCTATTCTCCCCGAAGAATCTACTAGGTAAATGCTTATCTGCTTCAAGAACTGGTTCACCCTAGGAAACAGACAGGCAAAGTCAGTAAATAAAGAATCCAAGGGGTATCTTTTAACCTAGGAGAAAAATACAAAATGTGTGTATTATAATTTTATTTATGTATTTCTGCATATTCAAACTTGTGGCCTCCTTGTAACTACATCATCCAGTATCATAACCATGAGCTGCACATGGTCAATGAACACTGAAATTGTGTCTGATATGAATTAAAATACCTTTCAAAATACCTTACCAGATTTTAGAGACTACAGTAAGAAAAATAATGTAAAAGGTCTCATTAGTATTATCTCCTTAAATGGTGATATACTTGGCATAGTAGGTTAAATAAAATATGTTATTAAGTTATTTTATTTGTTTTGTTTTACTTTTTAAAGTGACTTTTAGACAATTTAGAATTACTCCTTATTTCAACTTCTATTGATAATACAGCTCTGGACAGAAATAAAATGGGATGTAGCAAAAATGCAATGCTTTGAGACACTTGGGGGATGATCTCTGAGATCTACATTATCTCTTCGGGGAAAGCATGATGAAGTTCACCTAGAGCAGTATTAGTTCATGCCTGTTCCTCTGGCATAATTATTAATAGTGTTCCCATTATCTCTCATAGGCAACCCTATGTGGATGATCATTTGTAGTTTCCTGTAAGCACCCATATAGTTGCTTTCATTTTTTGCTCAGGGATAAGAGAGGCAACCTTTCAGTGGAGTCATAGGAGCCAAGTGACCCTAACTCTGACCTGAAAGCACAATGCAAAGCCCCTCTGTGTGTTAAGGACCTAAACCCAGCAAGCATGGACTCAGCGACCAGAATCTTTTTCATCTTTCTGGCTCTGTTCCACTCCTAGTTGCCTCCTGTATCTATAGCTTCAATAGCACTGTCCTTGCTTCCTATGACTCCATAAGTGATGATGAAGATGGGCAGTGTGTGATAATGTAGCCATGTAGCAACCTATATAAAAAAGAATCATTGCTAAAAAAAAACCATGTTCAGTTGCATTTCAGTCCAATATCCAAGGGGGAGAAAAAAACAATCAAAATTTCCATCTCTTCAACAGAGTGTTCACATGTGAGTAATTCACAGATGGCAGGACCCCAAGCGGCTTATGTTCGATCATTCCCAAGAAATGAAACTTACTTATAACCCACAGCATAAGAATCTGAAGAATGAATATTTGACACATATAATTATGTTGAAATATTCCCTCTAAAATCATGGTCGATGACTGTTATTTTTAGTTGTACTTCTTTAAGCTTACTATGGAAGGAAGAGATTTCACAGATGCCCAGAAATACATGTTTTTGAAGAGTTACAAAGGTTGCAGTTGTTTTCTGGCTGATTAATTTATTACAAGTTAGTTATTTAAGATATATACTCTGAAACATGTTGGAGTTTTAAAATGGTGTTGAATTAGAAAAAATCAAATTATATGCAACCTTCAAATTCTGTCTCTATTGAGAAGTCACAAAATCTCAAGGTTTTTTTAAAAGTACCACCAAATAAATATCCTGGAAATGTGTTTCCTTTCTTCCTCTTTTTGTACCAGAATAGTATAAATATTAATGTGCGAATAGCAGTAGATATTTATCTTTCAAGACAATACAGAATCCAATTCCACTGACGGCTTTTGAATTAAAGAAAGAGGATCCTGGGGACAGGATACTTTAGTGAGAGTCTGCTAGTGAAAAGTCTTACCTTCCTTTCCTTGATTATAACCTGGTGTTCCTAGCTTAAAGGCATGCCATAAAACTAGGTCCTTGGGATTGATGTCCTGAATTTGTGGATGGAACAGAGCTCTTAAACAGATGTGATTTTTTTCTTAATATCCGGTTAACTACTATGGTTGTTTTGTGTATTAATGACTGTTTATAGTTTTGAATTTATCCCTTATGACAGATTGACCCTGCAGGAAGAGTAAATTAGAAAGGAATCCTGAAAATTACAGCACTGTGCTTTGCCCAGTAAAGAACTTTGCTCTAAAGCTGTTACTTGTTCTGTCTGGCAAAATTAAGAATATTGGTCTTCTAGAAGCCAATGTCTACAATGTATAAATATAGATATTTTATTTCAAAACATAAGCTGGAAGATTTTGTGGATGTGTGGATGTTAAATTAGAAGTACATAGAGGTGTTTTAACATTGACAATTCTAAAATTATATGCCATGGCATGAGGTGAGTGGTGTGTGTGTGAGTGTGTGTGTGTGTGTGTGTGTGCATGTAAAGGGAGGGGCTGATCCACTAAAGAGACTATAATTCATCATATTTTAAAAGAATAACACAGGAGCCAGGGATTTAGCTCAGTGACTCCAGACCTGCCTCATAAGTGCAAGGTCCTGAGTTCCATCCCTGGTACCGGAAAAATTTTAAAAAGAAAAGAAAAACACAGGATCAAGATTAAAAGCCTCTGTTTTGAGGTTAGATTAAATAGTGCAGGGAAGCTATCAATTCCCAGAGTATGAAGAATGATAGAGAATCATCATCCCCTCTCTCTGAAACTTTTTTTAAAAAGTAAAACAGGTTATTTCATCATATTATCACT